GGGACAGGGATGGGGATGGGGACGGGGATGGGACAGGAATGGGGACGGGGATGGGGACAGGGACAGGAATGGGGACGGGATGGGACAGGAATGGGGACGGGGATGGGGACAGGGACGGGGACAGGGAAAATGAATAGGGATGGGGGACAGGGATGGGGACAGGGATGGGACAGGAAGGGAACGGGACAGGGATGGGGACAGGGACAAGGCCTGAGCTGCAGACTGAGGCAGCTCCGGGGCTCCTTCCCAGAGCAAAGCAATCCCTCAGGAGGGGAGCAGCTGCAGCGAAGAGCAGCAGCCTTTGGGAACACCAACATCCCTGCTGAAGGCAGGAGGTGGCACTGCTCCCTGTGCTGCTCTAAAGGCCAGGGGAGAACGGGGCCAGCTGCCCCAGCAATGCTCCCTGCAGTGCTCCTTGCAGTGCTCCGAGCACTGCTGGGAGCACTGCAAGGAGCACTGCAAGGAGCACTGCAGCATGCCCAGCATTTTTTGGGGCTTTTTTCCCTAACCCAGCTCAGAGAGAAAAGGAATTTCTGGGTGCTGCCACTCTCATCTGGATTTGTCTGTTATGCAAATGCTGTCCTAAATGTCTGGGTTCTGCATGTTCACAAGGAACAGCAACAACTGAAGCTCTGAATTCCAGACCCTGCTAGGACAGGCAGTCTCCTGTGTGGTGCCCAGAGCCATCCAGTGCCTGGACTCCCAAATGGAGCTTTGAGCTGCCACTTCAAAATAACATTCACAAACACAAACTATCATTGGAGACACTAAAAGGACTGAGGCTTGAGGATTCCAATCTCGGAACAAGTGGAACTGCAGAAAACTGATTAAAGCTGAATTTGTCCTTCACGTTCCGTTTCAATTCTTACTGTAGCATTTCCCTGATGAACATCCCACAGCCCCTGCTCGTTTTCAAAGGGCTTTTACATTCTGCCTGTGCTAAGTCACTGTGTGATGGTGCTGCTGGATCAGGGCACCGCTTCTCCCGGGGACATTTCAGCCTCAGAAGCACCTCCTGCCTGAACAAGGAGCAAGAAATGCAGAGCGTGGGGGGGATGGAACCACCCAGCAAAATACTCACTGCTCTGTTAATGTGCTTCTTGATGAGGATGTAGAGCACGGGCAGGGTGACATAGGCCAGGATCTCCCAGACCTTCCCCGTCAGCAGCATCCACAGGAGCCGATCCTCAGCATCCAGGCTGACCCAGCACCAGCCCACAGAAACGTTGGAGGCGTCGTAGCCAATCTTCTTCAGAGCCACAGCGGCCACCGTGATGGCCAGGGGGACACCCCAGCTGGGAGGGGACACAGAGAACGGGGTCAAGCCTGGAGCATCCTCAGCTGAGCCCCCCACACCTCAGGAGGTGGGTGGCAGAGCCAGGGATTCTCCCCCAGACAGGATTGCAGCGCTGATCCCAGAGCTGCAGCAGAGGGGGGGAATGGCCAGCAGGTTCTGGGCAGTGAACGGGGCCAGGACTGCAAATCCTCCTCCTGGGCACCTGGTGGGGGTGGGAGCCAGCCCTGAGGGCAGGGCTGCAGGGATGTGCTGCACCCTGAGCTGGCCCTCCCAGCACAGCCAGGGCAGCAGGACCCATCCCACCCCCTGCCCTTCTCCACTCCCTCCTGGACACAGGGAGGGGGAGGATTTGCCAAGGCCGGGGCATTGTAAAATGTGATTTTCCTGCAGGAGCCAGCCAGCTGATCCCGAGCTTTTGGAGCAGCCAAGTCCCACCTCTGATTCCAAAGTGAAACTCTGCACACAAAGCAAGCCACAACTTCATTCTGCCAGTGGTTTGTTTGTTTGCTTTTAGTGGAGATATAGTCAGTATTTCAGGAGCAAAAATATGATTTCTGGAGCACAAAGAGGCAGGGGAAAGTACTGGTAGTAACAGCAAAAAGCTCAGAAAGCAAAGAGGAGCCACATCCACAAAAGTTGCACCTGTGCCTTTGGCTTCTCACTTGATGGCAGAGGCAAATACAGGGAAGCCTTTAGAAGGAAAACAACTGTGGTGACACACTTGAGTGAAGCCACTCAGCAGCTTGGGCTGCCCACAAGAAACCACGAGGAAGAGCAGAGGAATCCCAGCAGCCCAAACAAAAACTCCACCACAAGAGTGGCCTGCACTGAGTGTGTCACCTGCCCTCGGCACGGCCACCCCGCAGGGAGGGACGGGGCCAGGCTGGGCTTCCAGCACAGAAACAAACCCAGGACTGCCCTGCTCCCTCCACTGCCAGCTCAGCCCCAAAAATCAGACACACCAGACCAGTTGTTGCCTTGCCTGGGTTATCTGAAATGCCATAGCCCAACTGCAGAACCAGAGATAACCCCATGAGATTACATTTCAAAAATACCCCATTTCCTACTCTTAAATAATGTCTGGATTCACCTACTCACAAAACAAACAAATATAAATATAAGGCTATAAAAAAAACCTCAGAGTCAACTCTCCAGCCCGTTTAGAACATTTTGTCTCGGGGTTCAGCTCAGAACAGGCAGTGCTATTCCAAGCCAGTGCTGTTATTTAAGGACAGTTGTGCTGCAGAAAGCCCTCCCCACTCTGTTATCAGAGCAGACTTCTAAAAACATCCCAGACGTCACCACCACCATGAAAGTTTCCACACAATTCAGGAGTCCCTTTGGTTAAACTGGTGGTTTCTCAGAAAACAACTGCAAATGCAAAGACATTCCATTCTCAGCACTCCTGCAAGAACTGAGCACTAAGGTAGAGAATTCAAGAGAAATGGCACTTCCTTAAAGAAACCATGTAAAGGCACAAAGGCAGCAAGAAAAAGGAACTGGATTAAGAAACGAATTTACCTAAATAATGATCTCATCAGTGAGCTGAAAGTGCAAAAGAATGACAATGAAACCAGGTCAAATAATGGTGTGTGGATGTAAGACAGGACAGTGTAAGTACAGACAAAGGGAGGCCACAGCAGGAAATCATTCACCCCTGAGAAAGGGACTTAAAAACCTTCAGGAGATAACTGGGGAAAGGAAGAATCAAAGTGCTGCATTAACAGGAAGTGAATCTTCACTGGACTGGCATTCTGGGATCAGATGGATATTTACCACCAACACCAGGCAAAAGGATCACCAACAAAGTGAAATTAGAGAGGGCCTAGGAAGGAACCCGACATTTCTGTGAAGTTCAGCTCCATTTCAGCAGGCTGGAAAGGAGAACTGAGACTGGTGATTCAGCTGTTCTTCAGAGCTCCAAAGTGACAGATTCAGGAGGGCTGCCAAATGTCAATGCTTTTACTGAACTAGGAGTGCAGGAACTGAAGCACCAGCACAGATCATCACCCAAGGTGTGTGTAAGGACTGGAATAAAAAGGATCCATGATAACAGAGAAGCAGAAATGTTCCTCTGAGCACCAAAAAAGCAATTCTGCAGGCTGGGCCTCTCCCCAGCACACCTGGATGCAAACAGTGTGGGAGGGAAGGGAAGAGGACTCCTCCTTCCTGCAAAAAGGCTGCAAATCCAACCTGTAACACAGACACAGCAGTAATTAATCCTCCAGTACAGCTCCTGGTGATCTAGGAATAAAAAATCATCCAGCCCAGCACATCTTTGCACAGCCACAGCAAAACCAGGTGAGGACCCTTCAGCTCCAGCAGTGCCCAGCTCCACCTGCCCTGGTTTTCTGGGCTCAGATTGCCCAATAACCATATTTTGATTTATGCTTTGATTTGATTTTTCCCCCCCAGAGGTTCTCACAAGCAGGTGATCTGCTGTCACCTGCCCGCACAGGTTGGACAAGGAGCCATCCTGCAGGCAGTTCCTTCTGGGGACAGGAATTTTACTCTGTAAGGAGGGAAAAATCAGGCTCCTGGATATCCCAGGCAGGTCCAGGAAGGAGCCCTGAGCACACATTGTGACCAGAACTCCAAATCTGCCCAAATTCAATCCTGCAGGAGCAGCCCAGGAAGGAGTGGGATGAGCAGAGCAGTAGTGCATGTATATATATATATAAAACATATATTTTAGTATATAAGCATGCATATGTTATAGATTTCTTTAAATTAAGTATATTTATGGTTGTAATGACCTGCACAGCCTGATCATGAAATGAAAAAATGAAAACCCTTCAAATGTTGTCAGCAATGGGTATCAAAAGCCAAGCAGGAAACAATCCAAATTTGGGCTCTGCCTGGTCCATCGCTCACCCCGAGTTTGGATCAGCTTCTCTCACAACAAAGGTGATGTTTTGCAGCCAGATGACACCTGACACTTGGAAATGCAGAAGCAGTGAGGCAGCTGGATGCCAGAACTCGCATTTTGCAGCTACGTAAGTGTTTCCAAAGCTGGCTGTGGGTTTGTTTTCAAAGCTCATCTGAGCTCAACAGGTTTAAAAGCAAAGCAGAGGCCGCAGCTCTGCAGCCCAGAATTGGTGGATGTGTTACCACAGGCACAAACCTGTCTGACGGGTCTGATCCACTCTGACATCCTCGCTCCCCTCAGGAAAATTCCAGGTTCTGACTTCCAACATGTATTTAGGCAGCTCCATCTCCAAGCATTAAGCCCAGAATTGCATTTCTCAGGTTAAGTACAAAAGTGCAGGGAAGGCAAGCAGGATGATGTGTCACGAGGGGATGGGCAGAGAACACGTCCTCACTTGTTGTCTCTGGCTTTTCAGACAATCATAAAGCAGAGGCAGCTTTAAACAGTGGCTCTGCACAGGAATTTATGGAGCAGAACCTGATCACAGGTGCTCAGCAGCCTTTAAACATAGCAGATGGTGCTGATCAATAGCAAGGACTGAAGATGGCATTTCATTTTTATTGTAAAGAACCAAAAATAAACAGAACAAATTCACCCAGAAGCTCAGTCTGAGCACCTCTCCCTCCGGGTCAGGGGTTAGAGCAATCTCTCACCCGGGATTTTTACAGCTTTTAGGGAGTGCTCAGACTGCAGCCAGCACTGTTTCAGTGACTCTGTTTCCACACTTGGTGGCTGACAGGGCTGAGGAGCATTAAACCAGATGGAGAAACTAAAGCACAGACAAAAGCCACACAAGCAATTAGCAGATATGAAAATTACAACTAGGCCAGATTTGCCTGAGCTCTTTGATGTGCCTGATGGAGCCAAAATGCCCAGGAAGGAGTCAGACTTGGTTTTTATATCCATTAAAAGCAACATGTGGCTCTTTAGCAGCACCCTGTCCTCACCACAGCTCTCAGGGTGCAACTCAGGTGGAATGACAGAAATGCTGCTCCAGTGCATCTTGTCCCAGCTTCAGCAGCAGCCCGGGGTGCCCAGGCCCTGTGAACCCCCTCAGCTCCTCACACAACTCACACAGAGGCCAAGCAGCAGCTCCAGCAGGGCAGAACTGAGCTTCTTCCCTGTCCATCCTCACCTGGACTCAGCTCTACTGCCACGATGCTGCTTGAGGCTAAAAGGTGTCAAATATTTGACTAAGAAAACAAAGAAAATTCTCTACTTGTCCTGAGGGCTTTTTTTCCCCCCTTTTAAACCAGATCTTATAAATTTCCCCCCTTTTAAATTCCTCTTATAAATTATTGCAAAAGCTTGGCAACACGGGGGTCTAAAGGATCACTGCTTTGCTCAGCGTGGACACAGCACATGATTCCACAAGCTCCCATTGCATAATGAAAGCTTTTACTAAACATGTTGTGGAAAATCAGTGCCCTAAATAGCAGAAACTGAGGCATAAAGCTGCACTGTGGACTGGTTTGTCTTGCTTGCAATCAAACATGCCAAAACAACCTTCGGAGTGCTTCTCTAGCAGTTTCATCACTTGTGGGCAGCATTTTCCTGTGAGTGTGGAATTACAGCAACCTGCCTGGGCAGAGGGGAAGGATCCACAGACCAGGCTGACAGGGAAGTTGGGGACCTGTGGAAACAGATCCCAAACACGGAAGCTTGGGCAGCAGCAGGCAGGTATCACAGACACAAAGTTTGTTATGTGATTTCCAGAACATCAGAGCAGACCGCAGGGAAAGCAGAAGCCAAGATTTGCAGCCATTAGAACCCACAAGAGATTTTTTTTTTTTTTTTAAGTGACCTTGAACAAAATAACTTCAACTTTTCCATGTCTCCAACTCTTCACTTGGGAAGGGAAAGGGGGAACAAGCAGGGTGGGTTGGTTCAAAGACAGCAAAACCCCTGTTCAGGAGGGACGTGAGGGGAAGGAGAGGAGAAGGAAAATGCAGAGACTCCTGAGGCTCCATCACCACACAGGGTGGGTGTCACATTGAGCTCAGGATGTGTTTCCCCATTTCCCAGGACCCCTGTGACTCTGATCAGATAAAGCTGGACCCCTCCTTCCAGCCCCAACAGGGCTGCTGGAGAGCCAAAAGAACCCTCCCTGTCCAGAGCCTGGATAAGGCGATGACTATTCCTGTTCACCCTCTTTTCCCCCTGCTCTTCCCTCAGACCAGGCAATAAAGAGCTGGACAGCTACATCCATGTGAGAGCCTCTTTTGGGAATCTCTGCCCATCTCCTGATGTTCCTCCCCTCAAGGCCTCGGATCTCTGGGCCAGCCCGATAACTTAGGGGCTGAGAGAGAGGAGGAACGTCCGCTGGGGGTGGCCGGGGGTCCCGGGGCAGCACACGGCACCCACCTGACGGCGTGGAAGCCCCAGAGCAAGCCCGTGCCCGTGGGCGAGCCCCTGACGATGGTCAGGTACAGGTAGAGGGCCACGGCCATGGTCCAGAAGAAGGAGCTGGTGTTGGCGAAGGTGGACAGGGCTCCCTGCAGGACGCAGTCCCACGAGGTGCGCTGGAAGTCGCGCAGCACGCCGTAGGAGTAGGAGAGGGCGGAGAGCAGGTCGGCCAGCGAGAGGTGCAGCAGCAGCTGCCGCGGGCGCGTCCGCAGCTCGGGCCAGCGCGCCTGGGAGCCCAGGAGCAGCGCGGAGCCCGCGCAGGACAGCGCGCACGACAGCAGCACCGCCCCGCGCTCCGCGGCCAGCAGCCGCGTCGGGGGCAGCGGCCCGGCCATCCCGCACGGGGACACGGGGCACGGAGGGACGGAGGGACAGACAGAGGGACGGACAGCGGGACGGAGGGACGGACAGAGGGGCAGACAGCGGGGACGGAGGGACGGACAGAGGGGCAGACAGCGGGACGGACAGAGGGGACAGACAGCGGGAGAGCGGGACAGACAGAGGGGACAGACGGAGGGACGGAGGGACGGACAGAGGGGACCGACAGCGGCACAGAGGGACGGACAGCGGCACAGAGGGACGGAGTGGGGACAGACAGCGGGGACAGACAGCGGGGGAATGGCCCGGGACAGCGGGGGAACAGAGAGCGAGGGGACGGCGGGGACAGAGAGCGGGATGGAGCGGGGGCACAGCCGGGAGATGGCGGGGGGACAGCGGAGAGGAGCGGGCGGACGGAGCGATGCACCCCGCGGTCCCGGCCCGCTCTGCCGGAGCCCCGAGCCGGCTCGGCAGCGCAGCACAGCCCCGGAGCGGCGGGCCCGACCCGCCCCCGCCGTCATGTGAGGCCGGCCCGGCCCCCTCGCTGCCGAGGGGATCCCCACCGGGACCGGCACCGGCACCGGGAGCCGCCCCCGCCGGGGCGCACGGAGCGCGCCCACCGCGGCCCCGCAGCCCAGAAAATCGCGTTTCCCTTTTTCCCTTGGCTCAAAAAACCCGCCCGGGCCGCCGGGAGCGGGGCAGGAATGGACCCTGCGTTGCTGCTGCCTCCTTCCTTCCCCAAGGACAGCGCGCAGCTCTGCTCCGCCGGGATTCTCACACGGATTTACACACAAGCTGCTGCCTTGGGAAGCGACATCTTCTTTCAAGGTACCTTAATTACCACTCGGTTAAATTTCAGTCAAGCAGCCTTTACTTTTTGAGGAATTTATTTTGGAGCGCGATGCCTCCTGTGTGTTCCTTATAGGAAAAGGAAGCTGCAGCAACGTGCATTTGCCAGACACAAATCTGATACCATCGGAGCCCTCAAAAAAACCCCACGAGACAAAGCTTTGTCGAGGCTGCATTCCCAGTTGTTGCTCTTACACATTCTTGGCCTCCTCCTTGTTCCCTGGTTTCCCTTTTCCCCACTTTTATAGCACAAGCCCCACCTACCACAGACATCCAAACACGTCAGCAAGCACCCCGCACCGCTTTTATTTTGGGTGATGGATGTGGCTCCACAACACAGCTTAATTAAGTCTTGCCAGATAGAGAACCAAGAGAAATACAGAACTTGCATTTCCACTGACTTGTGGCTGTGATTCAGATATTCCTTTCTCCTCAGTTCTAAAAAAAAACGGCCCATCAGGTCATCATAAATTGTTGAAATAAAAACCAGAGGAGTGGATCTTTGCCTTATCAGAAATAGGACAGGCAGAGGATTTTCTGCCGGGTCTCTCCCTGCTTTCTAAAATAGGAGTATGGGAAGTTTGCACACAGAAATCACTGCTCAATGGCAGGCCACACTCAAGGAGTTTGTGACTCAAAACTGAGCGACAAAAGGCAAATAATTCTTAGTAAAGATTCCCATCGCCTTCCACTTTCTCAGCACCTCCACGGGCAAGACAGACGTTCGGCATCTCTGTGGCACTGCTGTCACCTGATGTTGTCACCTCCTCACTGCAGGGCAGGGGAGCAGCTGCTCCTCCTCCAGCCCCGAGGAATCTGCAGCTGCCCAGAGACCAGGAATATTTGGGAAGTGCCCAAAGACACATCCCAATTCAAAGGCAGCATTGTCTATAGCTTGGGAACAAAAATCTAAGGAAGTGGCTTTTCATATAGCAATGCACACAATGAAAATTTTCCTTTCAGAATTCCACCTTCAGATGCTTTTTACAGCATAGGGAGATAAAGGAACATGGTATTTGGTGAAAAGACACAGAAAATCTTTTTCAAGGACTGGAATTCACCCCACCAACCACCGGAAGAGCTTTCTGACACACAGGCTGCACTCTGCATCTTATAAAGCCAGGGGAGCAGGGTAAGAGAAGGCTCCTGAGAGAGGAGAAACCCTCATGCCTGTCCTTTGTGGCTTTTTCTAGCATGTGACCAAAAAAAAAGTCTACATTTCTTGCACTCCTGGCACAGATTAAGGACTTCATTAACCCCTTCTGCTTGGCACACACCAATACTGACAGCTTTTGACACAGCACTGCTGAGAGACATCCAGGGCTGCTCAGAAAATTCCAGAATGATCACTCAGAGCCTTCAGAGCCATCTCTCAGCAGCTGCCCCCCTCCAGACACCTTTCTTCAAGGAGATTCAGAAGGCTCAAGTAAAAAAACCCACGAGGAAATACATTCCCTGCGTGTCCACCAAGGAAAAGGAGCAGCAAGGCAGGCAGGCAGAGAGGAGCAGACATTCCATCCACCCTGAATTCCAGCAGCTCCCACTCTCCTCCAGGAGCCAGATCTGCCACCCAAGGCACCCTCATGCCATCACAGTAACTGAAAATGAGGGAATTAAAGCTCCTTTTAGTTCACTCCACATCCTCTGGATACGCTAACTGAAAATAAATCGAATTAAAGCTATTTTAATTTATTCCCAGTCCTCTGGAAATGTCATCAGACCAGCACAAGAGGCAGCTCCTGGAGTAAGAAACCTTCAGCTGCTGGCAGGCTCAGGGTGGGGATGGAGGAACAAACATGACCCTGGGAAAAGCTGCTGGGTGAGGATTGAGCCTGTCCTGTCCCATCCCCAGAGCAGGGTCTGTAGCCCACACACAGCAAGCAGAGATGCTCAGTCATTTTCAACACTCTCAAGAGCATTAAAAAGTGTCCCAGGCTGCAGAGATGGCACAAGAACTCCAGCCAGCAGCTCTCAGAAGAAAAGCCACCAGCAATGAGGATTTTTTTTTTTTTTTTTTTGCAGGCAGAATGTGATTAGTGGCACTGCTGGAACCAAGCCAGCAGCAATCAATGGATTAAAGGATGCTCCAAGTGTTGTGATAGTTATTAATTTCAAATTTAAATTAGGGGATTAATATGGGATATTCCTTCATGCCGCAGCTGTGTGGAGAAAAATAAAGGTATTAATATTGTACATTCCATAATGAAGCAGAGCATGCCACCAACAAACATCAAAAGTTACATTTAAGACCTGATCATGAGCTCAGCATGGAGGGAGGGGGCACTGGAAAGGGCACTTCCACAGAACACAAAGAATGCCCCTGCAGTGATCTTCATGGAACTTTCACTGATATTTTTCCAATATTCTCATTACCTATAATAGCAAGGTAAGGACTGCACCATGGTAGGATTTTTGGGGTGTAGCTTTTAGTACCCATCGAACACCCTGGGCAAGGGAAAGGGCTGCCCACAGGTGAGACAGAAAAGCTGAAAATGAGAGCCTGAACTGGAAAGAATTCATGATGCTCCTCAGCTGCCCTGGAGCCTCCCTCCAGCTGTTTCACACAAGGATTGGGAGCAGAAGTGCAGGGCAGCAGCAGGAGAGCTCTGCTGCAGGGCCGGGCTGCAGCAGAGCCCTGCAGGGGCATTCAGGACAAAAAGAAGCAGACTTGCAGCAGTGTGTGTGCTCACCTCCTCCTGCTCTTCTCTCCTCTCTCTGCGGTGGCATCCGTGGCACTCCTGCCATCAGCTGCAGCTCCTCAGAGACCCCTGGGCAGGGGGAGGCAAGCCCAAAATGTGCAGCACTTCTAGGGCAGTATACTTGCTGATTGCTTCCTTGACTATTGCTCACAACAACCAGCTAAGACACTGCCAAAGAAACACTCACAGCTGGCATCCCAGCCGGGCAGCTGGGCAGGTGGGCTGAGATCCTCCTCTCTTCTCACTCGCACAGGGTCACAGGCTGGGGACAAACAAAGAGTCAGGCAAGCAGCTGCAGCAGTACTGAAGAAAAAGCTTTCAAGGCTCAAACTCATAAATCAACAGTTGTCCTGTCCCTTACCCCCAGATCTTGGTTAGGGCCTCTAAAAATTACCAATATTAACAAGATAAATACAGCTGACTCATCTGTAATCTCTATTTATCTCAATGAGCTCCTAAGTCTCCCACACCACCATTCAGGCAAGAATGGAACAATGAAATATTTCCAAATGCTGAACAGCTCAAGGTACAAACCTGTTTAAACTGTTGGTGTGGTCACTGCACTGCACAGAGGCTGGACAGAAAGAGAATTCAGTGTGTTATAAATGAGAATTTATTCATCCAGATTAAAAATTAAAAAAAAAAATTATATTAGAGGTCAAATTCTATCTGGCCAGCCATGGAAAAAGACAGAGCCAAGCCCGGGGTGTGCAACAAGGAGTCAGCCTCAGCAGAAGTTTTCCCCCATGCCCACACACCTCCATCCTGGCACAAGGGGTTTTTATAGGGAAAATTCCACCTGAGGCCAAGATTTCAGCAATCAGTCTTTTCTTCTATTCAGAGTCCATAGGTTAATAAGATTTTCTTTTTTNGGAGCAGGGGGACAGCGGGGGGACAGCGGGATGGACCGAGGGGACAGCGGAGAGGAGCAGGGGGACAGCGGGGGGACAGCGGAGAGGAGCGGGGGGACAGCGGAGAGGAGCGGGGGGACAGCGGAGAGGAGCGGGCGGACGGAGCGATGCACCCCGCGGTCCCGGCCCGCTCTGCCGGAGCCCCGAGCCGGCTCGGCAGCGCAGCACAGCCCCGGAGCGGCGGGCCCGACCCGCCCCCGCCGTCATGTGAGGCCGGCCCGGCCCCCTCGCTGCCGAGGGGATCCCCACCGGGACCGGCACCGGCACCGGGAGCCGCCCCCGCCGGGGCGCACGGAGCGCGCCCACCGCGGCCCCGCAGCCCAGAAAATCGCGTTTCCCTTTTTCCCTTGGCTCAAAAAACCCGCCCGGGCCGCCGGGAGCGGGGCAGGAATGGACCCTGCGTTGCTGCTGCCTCCTTCCTTCCCCAAGGACAGCGCGCAGCTCTGCTCCGCCGGGATTCTCACACGGATTTACACACAAGCTGCTGCCTTGGGAAGCGACATCTTCTTTCAAGGTACCTTAATTACCACTCGGTTAAATTTCAGTCAAGCAGCCTTTACTTTTTGAGGAATTTATTTTGGAGCGCGATGCCTCCTGTGTGTTCCTTATAGGAAAAGGAAGCTGCAGCAACGTGCATTTGCCAGACACAAATCTGATACCATCGGAGCCCTCAAAAAAACCCCACGAGACAAAGCTTTGTCGAGGCTGCATTCCCAGTTGTTGCTCTTACACATTCTTGGCCTCCTCCTTGTTCCCTGGTTTCCCTTTTCCCCACTTTTATAGCACAAGCCCCACCTACCACAGACATCCAAACACGTCAGCAAGCACCCCGCACCGCTTTTATTTTGGGTGATGGATGTGGCTCCACAACACAGCTTAATTAAGTCTTGCCAGATAGAGAACCAAGAGAAATACAGAACTTGCATTTCCACTGACTTGTGGCTGTGATTCAGATATTCCTTTCTCCTCAGTTCTAAAAAAAAACGGCCCATCAGGTCATCATAAATTGTTGAAATAAAAACCAGAGGAGTGGATCTTTGCCTTATCAGAAATAGGACAGGCAGAGGATTTTCTGCCGGGTCTCTCCCTGCTTTCTAAAATAGGAGTATGGGAAGTTTGCACACAGAAATCACTGCTCAATGGCAGGCCACACTCAAGGAGTTTGTGACTCAAAACTGAGCGACAAAAGGCAAATAATTCTTAGTAAAGATTCCCATCGCCTTCCACTTTCTCAGCACCTCCACGGGCAAGACAGACGTTCGGCATCTCTGTGGCACTGCTGTCACCTGATGTTGTCACCTCCTCACTGCAGGGCAGGGGAGCAGCTGCTCCTCCTCCAGCCCCGAGGAATCTGCAGCTGCCCAGAGACCAGGAATATTTGGGAAGTGCCCAAAGACACATCCCAATTCAAAGGCAGCATTGTCTATAGCTTGGGAACAAAAATCTAAGGAAGTGGCTTTTCATATAGCAATGCACACAATGAAAATTTTCCTTTCAGAATTCCACCTTCAGATGCTTTTTACAGCATAGGGAGATAAAGGAACATGGTATTTGGTGAAAAGACACAGAAAATCTTTTTCAAGGACTGGAATTCACCCCACCAACCACCGGAAGAGCTTTCTGACACACAGGCTGCACTCTGCATCTTATAAAGCCAGGGGAGCAGGGTAAGAGAAGGCTCCTGAGAGAGGAGAAACCCTCATGCCTGTCCTTTGTGGCTTTTTCTAGCATGTGACCAAAAAAAAAGTCTACATTTCTTGCACTCCTGGCACAGATTAAGGACTTCATTAACCCCTTCTGCTTGGCACACACCAATACTGACAGCTTTTGACACAGCACTGCTGAGAGACATCCAGGGCTGCTCAGAAAATTCCAGAATGATCACTCAGAGCCTTCAGAGCCATCTCTCAGCAGCTGCCCCCCTCCAGACACCTTTCTTCAAGGAGATTCAGAAGGCTCAAGTAAAAAAACCCACGAGGAAATACATTCCCTGCGTGTCCACCAAGGAAAAGGAGCAGCAAGGCAGGCAGGCAGAGAGGAGCAGACATTCCATCCACCCTGAATTCCAGCAGCTCCCACTCTCCTCCAGGAGCCAGATCTGCCACCCAAGGCACCCTCATGCCATCACAGTAACTGAAAATGAGGGAATTAAAGCTCCTTTTAGTTCACTCCACATCCTCTGGATACGCTAACTGAAAATAAATCGAATTAAAGCTATTTTAATTTATTCCCAGTCCTCTGGAAATGTCATCAGACCAGCACAAGAGGCAGCTCCTGGAGTAAGAAACCTTCAGCTGCTGGCAGGCTCAGGGTGGGGATGGAGGAACAAACATGACCCTGGGAAAAGCTGCTGGGTGAGGATTGAGCCTGTCCTGTCCCATCCCCAGAGCAGGGTCTGTAGCCCACACACAGCAAGCAGAGATGCTCAGTCATTTTCAACACTCTCAAGAGCATTAAAAAGTGTCCCAGGCTGCAGAGATGGCACAAGAACTCCAGCCAGCAGCTCTCAGAAGAAAAGCCACCAGCAATGAGGATTTTTTTTTTTTTTTTTTTGCAGGCAGAATGTGATTAGTGGCACTGCTGGAACCAAGCCAGCAGCAATCAATGGATTAAAGGATGCTCCAAGTGTTGTGATAGTTATTAATTTCAAATTTAAATTAGGGGATTAATATGGGATATTCCTTCATGCCGCAGCTGTGTGGAGAAAAATAAAGGTATTAATATTGTACATTCCATAATGAAGCAGAGCATGCCACCAACAAACATCAAAAGTTACATTTAAGACCTGATCATGAGCTCAGCATGGAGGGAGGGGGCACTGGAAAGGGCACTTCCACAGAACACAAAGAATGCCCCTGCAGTGATCTTCATGGAACTTTCACTGATATTTTTCCAATATTCTCATTACCTATAATAGCAAGGTAAGGACTGCACCATGGTAGGATTTTTGGGGTGTAGCTTTTAGTACCCATCGAACACCCTGGGCAAGGGAAAGGGCTGCCCACAGGTGAGACAGAAAAGCTGAAAATGAGAGCCTGAACTGGAAAGAATTCATGATGCTCCTCAGCTGCCCTGGAGCCTCCCTCCAGCTGTTTCACACAAGGATTGGGAGCAGAAGTGCAGGGCAGCAGCAGGAGAGCTCTGCTGCAGGGCCGGGCTGCAGCAGAGCCCTGCAGGGGCATTCAGGACAAAAAGAAGCAGACTTGCAGCAGTGTGTGTGCTCACCTCCTCCTGCTCTTCTCTCCTCTCTCTGCGGTGGCATCCGTGGCACTCCTGCCATCAGCTGCAGCTCCTCAGAGACCCCTGGGCAGGGGGAGGCAAGCCCAAAATGTGCAGCACTTCTAGGGCAGTATACTTGCTGATTGCTTCCTTGACTATTGCTCACAACAACCAGCTAAGACACTGCCAAAGAAACACTCACAGCTGGCATCCCAGCCGGGCAGCTGGGCAGGTGGGCTGAGATCCTCCTCTCTTCTCACTCGCACAGGGTCACAGGCTGGGGACAAACAAAGAGTCAGGCAAGCAGCTGCAGCAGTACTGAAGAAAAAGCTTTCAAGGCTCAAACTCATAAATCAACAGTTGTCCTGTCCCTTACCCCCAGATCTTGGTTAGGGCCTCTAAAAATTACCAATATTAACAAGATAAATACAGCTGACTCATCTGTAATCTCTATTTATCTCAATGAGCTCCTAAGTCTCCCACACCACCATTCAGGCAAGAATGGAACAATGAAATATTTCCAAATGCTGAACAGCTCAAGGTACAAACCTGTTTAAACTGTTGGTGTGGTCACTGCACTGCACAGAGGCTGGACAGAAAGAGAATTCAGTGTGTTATAAATGAGAATTTATTCATCCAGATTAAAAATTAAAAAAAAAAATTATATTAGAGGTCAAATTCTATCTGGCCAGCCATGGAAAAAGACAGAGCCAAGCCCGGGGTGTGCAACAAGGAGTCAGCCTCAGCAGAAGTTTTCCCCCATGCCCACACACCTCCATCCTGGCACAAGGGGTTTTTATAGGGAAAATTCCACCTGAGGCCAAGATTTCAGCAATCAGTCTTTTCTTCTATTCAGAGTCCATAGGTTAATAAGATTTTCTTTTTTTGGTGATGAGGAGGAACAATTCAGTGTCCGGAGCAGGTGAATCCCTGATGGGATTTACGGGAAGGCTGGGAAGGCTGCATTCACATGGATCTGTCTGAGGATTTCCATGAGATCCATCTCGGGCCATTTATGCAATGATCAGCACTGATGATCAACACCTGGAGTCCCAACGGTCAACACTGGAGTCCTGATGGTCAACACCTGGAGTCTTGATGATCAACACCTGGAGTCTTGATGATCAACACCTGGAGTCCAGCCATGGCCCATCTCCTGGCCATCCTTTTACTTGTGACTCAGTTTCCAATATACACCCAGTCTCGCCTGCAAGGGGGGAACTAATATAAAGGGGCATAATCTAACAAATATACAATATTCCATATTTCATACACGAAATGGCACGAATTATATTTACTACACATAACAAGTGGGAACTCAGAGGAGAGGCAGCAATGCTCACCTGGCCAGGGGACTTTGCTGTTGGACACTGCAGCAGCCTGGGGTCATCCAGCAGCCCTGAGCTCCTGGGAACACACGGCCATGTGAGAACACAACCTGCAGGACAAAGGGACTGCTCCCCTCTCCCCACAGCCTCAGGAGCAGGGGAGGGATTGCCAAGGGCCTCCTGTGCAACACCTGAGAGCAAAGGTGCTGCCCAGGAGCAGCCGTGGCTTCCACAGCCCCCAGCTCCTGCCAGGACCCAGTGGCACGCCTCACCCGTGATTCTCCATCCCCCTCTCAAGTTTCAAACCCCAAAAGCTCCAGAGTTTAGAGAGCAGGACAGAGCGAGCTGACACTCCGGGTTCTTTTTGGCTCTCACCCTGCTTTGCTGACAGTGAAATTACATTTCCTCTTGCACCCAGCTAGCAAACCCTGCAGAGGAAGGGGTGAGCACTCCGGGCTGCAGAGCAGCTGCCAAAGCCCCTCCTGGCTCTGCCCAGGTCCCCAGGGTCGGGGAGCAGCTGTTTTTACAGCAGCCACACAGTGATTAGAGACAGAGCTGTTGTGCCAGGGTCACAGCAAAGCCCGTGCCTTCCCTGGCACAGGATGGCAGAGCAGGGCTGGGACAGCTCTGGCTGACACCCAGGGGCAGACAAGGGTGACACGGAGTGCTGGCACTGCCCAAGGTGACACGGAGTGCTGGCACTGCCCATCCAACCCGCCAGGACAGCGAGGGCAGGACACCCACCCAGCCCTGCAGGACAGGACAGGCTCCATCCCCAGCAGACACCACCAGGCCATTAACCATCACTTCTCTGGGACATTTTCACCCTGAGGAAAAAGCAAACAGTCTCAAACATCAGCACCAGGACATGAGAAGAGCTCCCAGCTGCCTGTCCTGCAAACACATCCCCCTTGGAACCTGTCTTGTTTAAACACCAACCATCACCCCTCCAACATCTCCATCAGCACCAGGACCTGAGAAAATCATCCAGTCCTGCAAACACATCCCCCTTGGGACCTGTCTTGTTTAAACACCAACCATCACCCCTCCAACATCTCCATCAGCACCAGGACAAACCTGCCTGTCTCACAGGCAGTTACCAGGTCAGGGACCAGCACAGCCAAAGGAGGGCAGAACAATCTGCTACAGAAGAGGAAGATGCTGCTTCATCTTTCACCCTCCTCAGGGGACACAGGAGGCTGCAGAATTGCTGTCAACTTTCCTTTGAGCCACTAAAAACCAAGCATGACAATGCCAGGGAAAGATGTATTGGGCAACATCTTTACAAGATAACGACCCTGCTTTTAATTTTTCAAATCATATTAGCTCCCCTCTGCTGCTTGCTACCTCTAAGAATCCCTAGTGCTTTAGGAAAGGAGAAAAATAAATTCACAAGCACGATTTAAAGAGGTGCCACTCCAAGTTTACATGGACACAATTTGTTGAATTTTCCATTTAAGGGCTCCATTTGCCCCAAAATGGCAATTTTCTGTTTAGAGAAAAGATAACACATGACCTGTTTCACTTCCCATTGACTGCTGGGGTGCTTTACCTGGAGAGAGGTGTCCCAGCCTGCAGAAATCACCACAACTCCCCCCTGCCTGCTGGGGAAGGTGGCTGGATGCCAGCTCGTGCTAAATCTCACTGTGGGGGTGACAAAGCAGCAGGAAAAAGCTGTTTGGTGGATCATGTAACAGCGAATTAGCCTATGGAGAAATCCTCACTGTAAAACAACAAGCTGAGGGGTGTGGAAGGTGGGAAAACTCTCCTGTTACAGAAATTCTGCATTGAAGAAAGGTAAAAGGTCCTGTCAGGTGAGATCCGCAGCAATCACTTTGTCAGCACAGAAATATGGGATACCACAAGCTTCATTTAATCAAGCACATTCGTTTCAGCTCACTCCCAGCACTGTGTCTTCCTCCTGCTGTCAACAAGTGGAGTTTTACACTCTGACTTTAATTTCAGGTTTGTGCTGTATTGTCCCACCTTCTCCTACAATATCCCACCAAATCATCCAGAGAATGGTTCTGGGCTCTGCCCCCTGGAAATGCTTCTTGAGCTCTGTTATTATCATATTCTCCCTGTGATTTCTTCTCCTCCAAGCCCCCCACAGCATCCTAACTCCCCAAATACGAGACAGCAGCTTAACAACTCCTGGTGGCCTTTCTTTAATGAACCACAGGACACAAACTTCCCGAGGAGATGAACTGATGCTCCCCAGAGAGGAGAGAGATGTAGCAGCTCCCTCCAGGGCTGTGCAGGGCTGGTCCAGCCGGGCAGTCCCTGAGGTCCCTCTGGAGGCCCAGGTGGGCGCAGCTCGCAGCTCCCAGGTGATGCCTCGCTCCTGGCCCCCGGGACCCCTCCGTGCTCGGTCAGTGCAGCACACAGCAGCGGCGTCCCGGGATCCCCCAAACCCCAAAACCCGACCGGCCCCCAAATCCAGGGCGTGCTCCTGCGCCGGGGCTTGGGGAACGGCGGCAGAGCAGGGAGGGGAGAGAAAGGAGAAGGAAACGTTCTCTGCCCGACAGGACAGACTGGCGGGGGCCCGGGGCGGGCACCGGGGTCAGAGCTTACCGGGGCTCGGGGCAGGTACCGGGGTCAGAGCTTACCGGGGCTCGGGGCGGGCACCGGGGTCAGAGCTTACCGGGGCTCGGGGCAGGCACCGCGGTCAGAGCTTACCGGGGCTCGGGGCAGGCACCGCGGTCAGAGCTTACCGGGGTTTAGGGCAGGCACCGGGGTCAGAGCTTACCGGGGCTCGGGGCGGGCACCGGGGTCAGAGCTTACCGGGGTTTAGGGCAGGCACCGGGGTCAGAGCTTACCGGGGTTTAGGGCAGGCACCGGGGTCAGAGCTTACCGGGGCTCGGGGCGGGCACCGGGGCTCGGGGCAGGTACCGGGATCAGAGCTTACCGGGACTCGGGGCAGGCACCGGGGTTCAGGGAAGGCACCGGGGTCAGAGCTTACCGGGGCTCGGGACTCGCACCGGGGTTCAGAGCAGGTACCGGGGCTCGGGGCAGGCACCGGGGTTCAGGGAAGGCACCGAGGTCAGAGCTTACCGGGGTTTAGGGCAGGTACCGCGGTCAGAGCTTACCGGGGCTCTCCGGGGCTCTCCGGGGCTCTCCGCGGCCCCGCTGCCCGCGGCGCTCGGCCAGAGGCGGGCTCAGGCCCGGACAAGCCCGGACAAGCCCCGGGAAGGCTCTTCCAGAGCCCGCCCGGGCGGGGCAGAGCCGGGACAGCGGGACACGGACGGGGACAGGACGGGGACAGGACGGGGACAGGACGGGGACAGGACAGGGACACGGACAGGGACAGGACAGGGACACGGACAGCGGGACACGGACAGGGACAGGACAGGGACACGGACAGCGGGACACGGATGGGGACAGGACAGCGGGACACGGACGGGGACACGGACAGCGGGACACGGACAGCGGGACACGGACAGGGACACGGACAGTGGGACAGTGGGACACGGACAGTGGGACAGCAGGGATGGGGACGGGGACACGGACAGCGGGACACGGACGGGGACAGGACAGGGACACGGACAGTGGGACAGCGGGACACGGACAGTGGGACACGGACGGGGACAGGACAGGGACACAGACAGCGGGACACGGACAGGGACACGGACGGGGACACGGACAGCGGGACAGCAGGACACGGACAGTGGGACACGGACGGGGACAGGACAGGGACACGGACAGCGGGACACGGACAGCGGGACACGGACAGGGACATGGACAGGGACAGGACAGGGACACGGACAGGGACAGGACGGGGACACGGACAGCGGGACACGGACAGCGGGACAGGGGGACACGGACAGGGACACGGACAGCGGGTACACGGGCATGGGAAAGGGAACGGGAATGGACATGGGTACAGACACGGACACGGGCATGGAGTGGGCACGGACACGGACACGGGCATGGACAGTGGGGAAATGGGCACGGACATGGGCACAGACACGAGCATGGAGTGGCTCCGGCCACAGCACAGGGTTCCTGTCACAGCTCCTGATTCCTGTCACAGCACAGGGTTCCTGTCACAGCACAGGGTTATTTCCCTCAGAAAAGCAGGGTCTCCAGTACTCTCCTGCACAATGGAGAGTAGAAGGGAAGATCCTTCCCAATTCACTCATCCCACTAATCCACCCAGAGGCACAGACCGAGCCTCAGCGTTTGCTCTGTTGGGAATCCAGCAGGGACTGAACTGAGAATAGCACCCGAGGTGAAGGACAGAGCTTGCAGGTAGCATTAGCTGGTGCAATTACAGGTAGCAATTCCCTGTTACTCCAAAGTTTTACTGTCCAGCAGCAAGAGAAATCAATCTTTACCCGGGCAGGCGTCGTGGGGTTTTGCTTGGCTGTTTCCTGACGCCAAGGCTGGAGGAGCACAGGGCAGCTCGGGTTGGTGAGCTGCTGCTTCCCTCTGCTGGGAGCCAGGCAGAGGGGACCCCTTGTCCTGGGAGGGACATCTCCTGGCCTCCTGCAAGCTGCTGGAAAGCCCCAGGGCCCCTGCAGGCTCCCAGGGTGGCAGGGGGTACAGATGGGACAGTCTCCTTCAGTGACATCTGGGGGAAGTCAGACTGAGCTGGAAGCAAAGGCTCTCTTTGGTGGAGCAGTTTAAGAGAACTGGGCTTTTTGCTGTCAGCTCCTTTCCCTCCCCCATGCCCAGCAGACTGCAGGTATTTTTATTTTGTTCCGTGCTCACATCTGCAGAACCAACAGAGCTTCCACCAAGAAAAGGGGTCAGGTTCAGTGCCTCGCACGCAGAGGTGCTTAGGGAGAGAAGTCTGAGCAGCAGCACTGCAGCCAGGGGTGGTGCCAGGCCAGCAGAAAACTGCTACTGCTCACCTGTGCACACTTCCTCTCCTGCCACTGCAAGCCCTTGGTTCTCCTTGAGATGACAGCCATAGAAAGAAATGCTTTTCCTAATCCACCCTCCTCCAGCTCCCTGCCCCTTCCTGCCCGGGAGAAGCAGCTTGAGGCCATTGAGGGGCACTGCACACCACAAGCATCAGGAGCAGAGCTGCGAGGCTTGTCTGCATCCGAGGGCTCCTCAAACTTTGCTTCTCCAACGCCAAAGTATCAGCACTGGCACCACAAGGAGCTGCACCTCAGGTAACGTCAGCAACGTCCCCCTTCTCTTCCCCAGTATTTTTTCTGTAGTGTAAGGACCTAAGATAAGAGGTTTGCTTTGAAACACCAGGTTAAAAACCACACTCACACAGGTTAGAAAGCCCCACCACACTCCCTTGCAGCTCCTGCCCGAGCAAGGTGGCCAGACTCTGCTCTGCTGTGCTGCCAAGGGGTCCAGCTGGGATGCCCACCCTTCTTGGGTGGCAGACTCCTTGGCAGGCTGTGGCCAGCAGCCCTGCACTCGCCCAGGTGTGGCTCTTCTCCCATCCCTGGGTTGTCCCTTGAGGTGTAATTGCCCCAAGAGGGGCAGAACAGATCAGCTGGCAGGGTGGCCTGCAGGCTGCAGCCCTCATCTGCAGCAACAGGGAATCAGCTGGGGGCCAGAGAGGGCCATTGCCAGGGGAAGAGCTTCAGCCCAGCAGATGAGATGCAGGGAGCACCCCTCATCTCACCCCTCATCTCTCCCTTCATCTCTCCCCTCATCTCTCCCCTCATCTCACCCCTCATCTCTCCCCTCATCTCTCCCCTCATCTC